GAATCCGTGTTAAATGATGAATATATCTGAGCATCTGTTCATCTACACAGGACACAGTGTTAAGTTGCATAAAATAAATAAATAAATAGCAAACCAGCACAAAAAAATCAACATACAGATGACATCAGACATATGCATGTGGACTGGGTGAGGGTAAAGTAGGAGGGGGGGCTTCCAGCACAAGTCACCCAAGAGAGCGTCGCAGTCACCTGGTGCCTCGCATCCAGCTGGTGCCTCACATCCAATCTAGGTTACCGCACAGGGATGGCAAAAGAAGGGAGACCAGTGAAGGTGGTAAGTTGAGGGGAGTGTGTTTATAGCTTTGCGAGTGAGTGTATGCATGTGTGCATTTGTAAGTAAGTTTGTCAAAACTGTCCCAGATAGTGCCCCCAGCCATATTCCATGATAAGTGGTGGTGCAATATTTATCAGCCATCCTCAGTAGAGCTCTGACACAGATCCACAGATGTCTTTGGGGAAGGGAATGGGTAGTAGGAGCAGAACATCTTGCTCTTATGAACATCCAAAGAGCATTGGAACAGCAGGATAATTTGAGATATTCAGCCTTCCAAGACTGACACGGGGGAGCCAGATTCAGATAACAGTTGTTTTGGGTCAGGCCGACTCTGTTAATTTCTCATTTGCATTACAGTCTCACTGGTGCATCTCAGTGGAGACTCCAAACAGCCAAATTTTGTTGTCAGTACTGCTGAGCCGAGTTTGTAAATTCTCCAAGATCAATTACTTCCCACCAGCGAGATTCAGGAGTTGCAAGAAGACTGCAATTCTCAGCAAGAATCGCGTCCAGCTTATGGCTCAGCTCACACAGCATTTGAGTCTGAGTGTTCGCAACATGGTGCATTCACTCACACAGGCCAGGTAGCTTCACAATGGCTAGAACAACTGCTGACGTTTTTCAAATTTGTTGATATGCCATGTAACCACCAATTTCAAAAAGAAGAAATCCTGTTACCATAAATCCAATTATGTACAAATCTTCAACATCCTCGACCAACAATATGGACAAACACAATCTTTCACTGTCTCCAGGAATCAATCGTGTATCCAGCTGCAAGTATCCTGTCAGGGCAGGAAGACTCATTTGCCATGTCTCTCATTAAGAAAATTTGATTAATTGCATTGAGAAACCAGCTTATCAGATCCATAATTTACAATTCAGAAGATATACAAAGAGAGGCTCCAAACGGTTCACAAAACAAAGAGCAGAAGCAGGGAAAGTTGCAGGAGGAAAAATCATCCGCCTTCACTGAAAGCAAGAAGGAAAAAAAAAAGTTGGCTACTAAGCACTAGCTTCCATGACTTGGAGTTGAATGTATCCATCCAGGGAAAACATTCCCAACTCACTATTTCTGGATCATTATACTGGACAGGTTTTATACACCAAACCATCCCAAGCCATTGCTGTTTTCTCAAAAAGCATTGTTGAACATTCATCTGTTCGCCACGTGGACCTCACCACACATAACCAAATGCTATCCCAAACCTTTGATGTCCTATCGGTGAGTAAAACCACAGAGACTTCAGACAAATATGTAGAGTCGCTGTCCCCTGAGCTACACACTTCAATCTGATCACAGATCGAACAAGTAGTAGCCCAGGAGACACACTCACCAATGATGAAGAATGAATTCTTCTCAAATATGAAGTTCACTTTTCTGTTGACTCTATGGACTGTGGTTTGACTTCAATCCACACTGTCTACATAACAACTCCACCTTACTCACCCCTTACCTATGTTTGACAATACAAGATCCATTTGGTGTCATATGAGCCTATCCAATACATAATTTACAATCTTAGTAATAAATATTCAGGCCATGTAACTGCACCTACTGTGCACCTTTATGGCCTGTCCTTAAACCCAATGGAAAATGGAGACTCACCATCGACTACCAAAAACTGAACCAATCAATCAACCTTTACTTAGACAGGTAAATCCCATTGAGCCTCGAGGACTCATTTACGAGAGAGACCTGATTTCAACAAAGAAAGATGACAACAATGGACAACAGCAACAACAATAAACAATTATAAAAAGTCATACTACAGGTTTTTTTTTTTTTTACAAATAGGATGGCTAAAAAGAAAAAGGTAACAACAAACAACAAAAAAAAAAAACAGCTAGATTCTAAGGCGAATGTAGAAAACTAAAAACAGGAACATGTCTGCATTGGTCCCTGCCAGGAGTCCAACAGATTCTTAAAGCCACTTAGAGAGGTCAAGGTCGAGAGCTTCAAATCTTTTTGTAAGATATTCCAGGA